CCTGGAAACACCGATCACTCTTAAGATGAAACATCTCCTTAGTGCGAAGAATAATATGTTCCTTCATGGTGAACTGATATCCACCTACGACTTCGTCTGATCTGCAACAATAGATGTGATAGTCCCCGAACGAGGGGTACTAGCTCCGTGACCTTCGATCACTTATCCATAATTACCGATTTTTTACCTTTTGAGTGCATCTTTATAAATCTTCATCATTTAAATCACAACCAATAAAGCCGATTCCTTTACTTTCTCCTCTCCTAGGTGGACGGTATTCTGTTCTATCATAACGCAGTGATTTACGAGCCAGGTCCCACACCCCTTGTCGGTTGGCTAAAACCCTATATGCTTCCTGAATGGTTCCCGCAAATCGAAGTCAATAAGGATTACCTGGCAGACATCCCGGTGGAGTACACTGACTATCTGAACGAAATCCGCCATCAAGAAGAAGGAAAGCTTCGCATTCATTCACCTACTAATATCCTGATTCCACATCAATCCTGATTTCGCATGATGAATATTATGTCTGACATGATTGATCTCTTCGAATTCTCGTGAAGACTTTTCACCATGTCATTTCTACTTTGAGAAGTTTTCAGTCTCATCTACTTGAGCAGATATACAAAAAACTTACTTTTCACTTTTTTGCTGCACTACTTTAAAAGCGATGGATCCAATACCGCGAAGACAAGAGGGCAGATTCAAGCCAGAACAACCAGCTTGTTGCTTTTGTACTGATTAAGAGTGGTACTCTTAGGTTATTTTATGGGGAAATTCAGGCAAGCGGGTAATGTACAGTTTTTTGTAATAATACCTGATTATATAACCCTAAAAACACCAGTAGGAGACCAGCTTGTTTTCACTAATTCAACAACCGACTCACTATTTTGGTGACGGCAAATGGGGCTGCAAAGAAAGAATGGCATACGAACAGATAATTTTTGAGGGTATGGCGTCATGCAATCAATGTGCCTTAGGGTAGTTGGTATCAGTTTCTTATGTGATTCGTTTATCATTTTTGTATTGGGATCACATAACAGTATCGCATTTTGATGACCAGACAGCTTTAGTAGTTTTACAAGCTGTTTCTGAGCCTACACGAAGTCACGCAGTCGAATTCTGGTCGCTTCTGCTGTGGATGCAATGCCACCCCTGATCTGTTGCGATAATCTACCTTTAGCCGTGTAAATCAGACGCAACGATTTACTCTGCAAGATCGAAATCCATCAAATGAGAGAGATGATTGATGTTCTGGTTAGCCTTCGATTTAGCTGATTTGCATGGTGTTCTCCAAAGTGACCGAACAGACCTCTCATACTTCGACAAATGTAAAGTGCTTCACAAAAGTATGTGAACTGAATAACGCAAGATGAGGTCATATCAGTAGATGGTCTATCTTCTGTCTACAGAAAAATGCCCCTTTGTTTGATCGACGCGAGCGTGTATAATGTCTAACTGGATTCTTCGACTAACCAATTCTAAGAAACTATCACCTTCGAACAGTTTGGAAAACTATACTTCCTCACCCACTCTTTAATATAGTTGACCTACCCACGAATGTTCCAGGGTGTCCAGTATCCAAGATAAAACTTGGCTCCTAGTTCACTTTCGATCTTATCTTATTAACATAAAAATGTTGAGCATACACGATAGACAGTGAACTACAATATCAGCTCAACAAGAGCCTTAGACGCGGTGAGTCAGAATCCCTTGACCTTTGCTTAGCCTTTTGCCTCCCCTCTGGAATATCGTCTCACAAGGACTATATTCGATTGCAGTGATTTACTTTCTTTAGCGGGGCAATTTCAGGCGCACTTTAGCTGAACTCAAACGACATTTGCATTTCCCAGTTCTTATTCTTCTATACAGTCAACAGACCGCATTGATCCTCTGAGGTGTATAATTCATTTCAATAGGTACAAGGCTTCTGCAATTAATGAAATGTTCATTTTCTCCCATGGATTGTGGTTCATCCATACTTCTGGACTCCATCATAACCCCTCGGTGTACCGATGGGAAAGTGAGCAATAGTGCAAACCGATTGCTGTTTTATAATCAAGGATATCGACCTACTAGGAAATCCACAGATTAATTCATTTTTGGCTGCCTCAAAGCTTCTCGCTAAGATAATATTCCACCTACGCTGTGTTGCAAATAGACAGTGCACAAATGAGAATTAGGTTAATTATAGACTTCTTTCGGGGCTGCAAGGATCTTTGTTCTGCTATTCGTTTGATTCCTGATCCGATGTACCCTTACTTAGGTCCATGATGTTTGCTACTCCTAATCTGAAAGTATCATTAGAATCATTTCCCTGTATTGTCTATCCTTGGAGCTGTGCCAGGGAAGCTTATTTATCTGCGCCTAATGCATATGACGCTGCGTCGGAGTCTAACATAGAACGCTGTATTTCTATTTAATCATTTTCACCTTTTCCTGTCGCACTGCTGATGAGACCCAACCAGGTCGAAACAACCGTACAGTGCTTCTTAGCTTTTCAGTTTACGCTTCATTTGCTCTATACACGAATTGTGTCTACGATATATTGGTAGCAACAGCTCTATCCTCGTGAGCCGATGGTGTCTTCGAGACTAGCCTCCTGTGCTCTGTCAAGTGGATGAATATACGGGTAACATCACACTACTGGATGAAAGTAAGTTCATCATCATCTTCGTATGGTGAAATACAGTGAAGTGAATTTCACTGATCGCTTCCAAACTCCCAGTGCATACAAAATTAGTGGAAATATGTAAGGTTGATAGGGACTGGACTTACTTTGAGGGAGGGAGGTGACCAACCATGGTCACCACACAGAGTACACAATCTAACTGTGCACACACATTTGAGAGCATTCTGGGCTGATAATCCATGACAACAATAACGGCACGACTGTCGGTTCGCTGTCATATAATCCAATGTCTCCAACCAACCAATTGCCGGATATTTCGTGTTGCATCCTGGAAAACGCAAGGCACCTACTCCACCCAATTGCTATGTGAATTGCTCCATACTTAGTTTCTACATATCTTTTTGTTGATCTTTAATTACACACTTCCGTGTGATGAACAGCAGACGGGTAAACCCCATAGTCACGAAGACCTGCTGATGGAAACCGGTAACCTAAGCCTCGAAACTTGTAGTGGTGAACCACATAAGGCCTCGATAGGTTAGGCTTGGTATTGAACCGGACGATAGCAAAGTTGGGTGGCGGGCTCGGACCATAGGGTTCAAAGCATACTTGTGACAGCGATTAAATCACTGCGCCGCCACCACCCGACTTCCGTGGGGTTTCCTCCAGCCCGGAGCGGCTACGTCGAATGAAGCGCGGTGCAGCAAACAGCTGGGCATTCGCAATACGTGCCCTAGCCAACAGAGCCCATTAATCTGAATCTGATACCCTGGCAAATTTTCACCTGGTAACCTACCAAACACAACGGCTTACCTCCAGACTACTGACGCCGTTGTTCCATCCCACCCAAGATAAACTATGTGATAATGAAAAGCTTATAGTCGATGGATATCAGTTACTCGCAAATTCAAGGTCTCACATTCAGAAAGTGGAACTGAACGAATGGTTGCACACGACCTTACAACTTCAGTGAAATGTAGGGTCTACGCCAAAGGGCTTTCAGTCCTGCGTTCGCTGCTCGAGCCTTAAAAATGCGGCCGGCAATCTCCTTTGCTGCGCCCCCGTCATTGGTCGCGCAATTATCTAAGTAGGAAAAGCATTACACTCACCAATTCTTAGCCATTAAGTTTCAAAACAAGACTAAGCGGCACAATATTGCAGCATATATAGAGTCTTCCGGAGAGGCTGCATACACGGAAGGAGCTAATGTATCCAATGGTTTCGTGAAACTGTTCCATCATATACGAGCCTCCAGAAACACTGATGAAGGGGAAACTTCGCGAGGGAGACGGAATGCCGCTCAAAAATTTTCACTGACGACTGTTTTTTGAGGGTCGTACACAGAATCAACGTTCCAATGGCCCGTTGTTCCAGCCGCCTCAACTGCAGATCATCCCTGCTCGTGGTTAATTTCCTTAGGATTTCCGAATAGGCTTGAAAACAAAGTCCCTCTTTTGCAGAGAAGTAA